GCTTAAACGCTTTCTTCTTCCATGCAATTTGGTTCGACTATTTATATATGCTGTTCAATGGTGCACTGTGGTAGAAGGTCTATTGTGTTACCCTAACGGTTATTGGGCGGGAGTTAACAGATTTCTTTGAATTTTTCCTAAAGGTGAGTGAAAAAAAAACCGTTGGCCCGAACGCAGTTATTGGAATCTATTTTAAAGTGTTGTTTGCTGACTTTTTAATTCTCTATTTATTATTTTCATTTATCATTGTTGATTATTATTATTATTACATTTACTTGTATTTATGTGTAGATTCGTAGTTTGTTAATTTGTGTATTATTTACTTAATTTGTTAACTTATTTATTTATCTACATTTCTTGTTTATTTTATTTTATTTTGCTTATTTATTTATATATTCATTTTTTCGAATTCGTTCTTAGTTTTCGATTTTTAAATAGCATAGTAAAAATTAGGTTTTGTATCTGCATTTTGAGATGAATACTAATCATTAATTTAGTAATTTGTGTTGGTCTGGGGTGATAATTATATCTATTTTCTCCTACAGGTAGAGGTTACAGTTTGGGATTTATTGATGTAGGCTAATACTGTTTTTATTATTTTCCAAAATATTTTTAGTGTGATTTGGTTTTCGTTTTTAATTTCCCATATATGTTTATAAAGAATAGTGCTGTTTGCGTATTTACTATTTATTTTGCGGCACAAGTCGGAGATCGAACTCATTCATCAGTCGTAAGTGTTCTAGGGAGACAAGCTTGCTAACCATTACAGCATGAAGATGGAATTCATAGGACATAGTTATGTGGTTATAAAAGTTTTACAAACCTCAGTAACTTTAATTTACATAATAAAATCAGATATATTACAGTTTTAAATGATCTTGTGAATTACGAAGGGATTTGTTGATAAATAAAAGTTTTAAAGATGTGTTTAACTATATACGTAAATGAAAAAATCGTTTCATTTATTATTGATTTCATTTATACCATCAAAGCAAGCAAGAGGAACGGATGCCATGTTGACTTAAGTGTTTGTGTATTTATTTCTGGGCACCAAGTTTTGTCATTTGGCCGATTTAAGAAAAGTAAAGATTGTCATTCAGTAAAACAATAGCAATTTTGTTCATTTATTTATTTTGTTCAATTGCAATTGTAGAAAACTTTCAAGTATTGTAATCTTGTACGCAGACACTTCACCGAAGATCTGAAAGGCAATAATATTCGAAACAGGTCAGCTTGGTATTTGTCCGTTTCTCGACCCAAGTGAATAATTTATGGGCAATGCTTGCAAACAGGAAGGGTAAGGTCGGGAATTTGAAATATTTTT